TGAATCAGGCCAGTACACTCAAAATCTCGGCGACGATGACTTGTGACTTTGTGCTATTAAAACCACTGACAATCTCTGTTGCAGACGTTTGTTCAGGCACATATGTATTTATTCAATACCCACGGTGTCCACCTGTAGTTTATACTGCGATTATGCTGAACTGACCATAGTTACAGTTTCCTGGGAGAGAGCGTGATTATCTGTGGTCACCAGGCTGAAAAAGTCCAGCACGCTCAAACACTCGGTCACAATCACTTGTGAATTCATACTATCACAACCACCGGTGGCTTCCCAAATAGTTACATCTGGCCAATTTCACTCACAAAGTTTGGACCAAACCATGGTATGGCTTTTGGGCACTTTCCAAAGATTCCGCACACTGGCATCGCCTCTACAGGCCGATAACATCAAGAAGTTACCTCCGTGGCAAATTGCCCATAGTTAGATTCGAACCCGGGTCTGTACACAGAACATAAGGCAGTTATGTGAGAGTGAGTGGTTTTTTTTCCAACCATGGTGACAAGCAAGAGATCAGAAACAAGATGCTTTTGTTAAGATTTTTGCTTTAATGATATTTAGAGTTGAAATTAAATATTTTCAAAAGGAATTCGTGCTAAATGAACCAAAGTCGCCTTTGCTGAATTCGAACTCTGTTCACCGACGCTGATAATTAACACACCCTATTATGCGTCTGCTCATTCGTTACTTGTGTTTCTACAGCAAATGTTACACAACAGCATTTTTTTGTTACATAGTCAACTGTCCATGTTTTTACGTTAATATCCTTGAAGACCTACTTTCAAGAAACGAATGTTCACCGAATATCGTCCATCACTGCAAAGCGAATTTCAAGAGATGTTGATATTGGCAAAGAACCTGGAAAACGATCCTAATTCGTCGTAATTTTCGTATGGATATCAAGAAGAGGTAATGTTGGTTAAATCTAGAGAAAAAAAGGCAAACGATTTTGTGACGAGTGAGGATGTTTTGCAAGCAAAGTGGGTTTATTATTCTCATTTTTAAAAACAGTCTACTGAACAAGTCTTTGAAAATCACAACGTGTTCTTTCTCTAAACGCCTTCGCTTTTCACTACGATAACTTTTCTTGTCATTGCAATGAATATTATTATGATTTCATTTAAGAGAAGAAACGTTGAACAAAACCGTTGTCGTTATGGCGATTATTTTAAACCTGAAATTTATTACTATTACTTGTATCTGCTTCATAGGATATGTTGGTCATTGCTACGGATCAAATAAACGCAACCCACCTTAAATCACCACCAGCACTTTACTCTATATTCTAGTCAACTTCAACAATGTTTTACTCTGAATTAGATTTATTCTTTCGTCGATATTTCATATTTTTAATCTCTTGAGTTACATTTCATGCATTTGTTCATTATTATTATTTCTTTAGTTTGCTGATGTTTACTTTTGATTTTCTTTTTGCTTGCCTATAATGTTCAGCGACTCGAAAAGAGGAAACGCCGATCCGAGTTCGAATTCCATCCGAGCTCCTTATGTTCACATTTTCTTACAAATATCCTTTGGAAATGTACGAATCTATCCATTCCCCTCACCCAGTTATGTGTTAAATATCAGAGCAGACAGGACTCTTTTTCCTTGGTTGGTAACCAGTCTAGACATGGGAACTGTATGTGAATTGAATAAAATGTAATGTACAAATAAGGGACATTGTGTTCCTGTCAAAATGAACAACCATAACGCTAAAACTCTTCAAGTATTCACATCAGTAGATGAATTCTTTGGAAGAATTCTCCTCAATACTCCAGCACAATTCTCAGTATGCTATTTGCTTTAAATGATGCTATCATTTACTTAATTCCAGTTCTTTATTTGATTTCAAGACTCTACAGTCTTTGACTAGGCTCTTCGGAACAGTTCCCTGTTTCTGATAATTGATACTGATTCGTATTACTCTCATTTTCATATTCCACAATCCCTAGCAAGAGTGATATATATATATATATATATATATATATATATATATATATATTATTTCCCGTTCTATCGTTCTATCTATCTATCTATCTATCTATCTATCTATCTATCTATCTATCTATCTATCTATCTATCTCAATCTTTTCATTATCTATCTATCTATCTATCTATCTATCTATCTATCTATTTATCTATCTATCTATCTCAACCTGTTCATTATCTATTTATTCATCTATCGATCCATCTATTTTTTAATTAATTCACCCCAGGCAAGGTACTTCATAGCAAATGGGAAATATATATATATATATATATATATATATATATATATATATATATATCTTAACCTGTTCATTATCTATCTATCTATCTATCCATTTATCTATTCACATATCTATCTAATTTTAATCAATTCGCTCCAGACAAGGTGCTCCATAGGAAATGTGAAATATATATCTATATCTATATATATATATATATATATATATATATATATATGTATATATATATATTCTCGTTCTTTTGGAAGTCTTTTGTAGACTTACAGAACAATGAAAATTCCTTTCTCACGTATTTATTCTTCTTTTCGATTTTCACTGCCAAATTTCCTCTTCTAACCCGAATTGGTTGATCAGTTTAAACATGAAAGTCCTAGAAGATTTTCCATATTCTTATTTACATTCTCACAATAGTCCTTGATTGACTTGCTATGCAAGGAGAGTACTATTTCCAATTTTCATTTCCCCTATTGTGGGCATTATTATAGCCATGATATATGCGGACGGAACAGAATAGCTGTAAGGAGAGAAATGACAAAAATGTTTTGTTTTCAACGAGATTCGATACTTCTAAGCTATATACAAAATTATATACAAATATTTACACTTGTCCCACACAGAGAAACTACAATGTATACAACAGCAAGTAGTGCGAAAAGAGTGAAGAGAGAAAAGGTCTTATTTGTAATACTTCCCAATTCGTGCTATAGTGAGGACGTATTTCCCAACGGGAAAACAGCGAGTAATGGGCATTTCCCAGCATGAAGACTGCGAACCAGAGATAGTTTCCGTGTGTCTCTGGTAAGGAAAAATATCTACTAACGGGAAAACGGCACTATGAGCTTGTGAACTCGGGTGGACAGATTTAGCCTTTGCTTGAGTTTTAAAAATTGACAAACGCTTGGTTTGACACCAAGAGGCACCTTAACGACTGACTGTTTTGGTCTGTCTATGATCTGACGTCACTAAGCAGCCGTCACATGAGCCACGGGACTTCATCTCAACCAATGGGAGATAACCTTCTCTTGCATATCTACTACACCCTCATCTTTATTGTCGATCAGGTTAAATTTCAGGGAGTTTCGGACTTATTATTTTATTTAATCTGCGGGTGTAGATTGTACCCATAATTTATTTATTTATTGCCCGCTCCAAACACGCTCTGTCCGACTCACGGTTACTATGTCACCAAGAGAACTTGGAACCTTAAATCTAATCTGCTTGCTGAGGAAACTGCTGCTGCTTGTTAATCTTGTCTTGACTCCTCGTCCCAGAAACTTAGAAAGGTTTTTCTTTCGGACAGAATCTCGTTCAGAGGTTCCCAACCTTTTTTTTTAGTCATGCCTCACCTACGCAACTCTAAAATCCTGATGCCTCCTCAGCTGTGACATATGATTCTTATTATTCAAAAAGTAAACACATATTCACGTGTAAAAACCCAAAATGCCATTCAGTTAACCGGGCGTAACAACAGAATTGTCCAAAATCGTGCAACAGCAAAATTGGTCAATTGTTAGATTAAGCTTTGAACCGTTTTAGCTTACAAATGATTAAAGATATCTTACTGGAATTCACGGAGGTTTTTATAGGACTATTTGACTCTACTTTCAACAATGAGAATATATTTAGCTCTTAGTTGAAATGATGATCCCTCTTTCTGTTGTGACATCCAGACCCAGTTTTTCTCTGTATTGTTTCCTCATTTGTAAACTTATTCACTACTATCTTGATGGCCCTTGAATGGTCTTTGAAAATGTAAGCCAGTGTATGAGTGCTGGTGCCATTACTAAAAGCCTTAATGATCTTTTTACTCTTACCATTTCTCAGTTAGGAAGACAGTGGATCTGACACAAAACAATTTTAAACCGGTCTCTTTTTAGCTGAATGACTCAAATGTTTCAGTGATTCTTTCGAAAAATGGTGTCAAGATGGTAAAACGTCTTGTCTGAAAACCTGGTAAAAAGAAATTCAATTAAATTAGTGGGTTTTCGGATATTAAGCATTTTGTGGAATGGACAATTATGCTGTTACATGATTTGGACAATTTTGCTGTTACACGCGGTATATATATATATATATATATATATATATATATATACAATTTTATAATTCAGTAATGTTCCTCATATTTATTTTGAAATGATGTCTCAATGACTTTATTATCTGTTTGTAGATTGCAAAATACCCCGTGGAATTTCCTTCCCACAAATCCAACAGTGTACTTGTCTTTATGCCCTTAAAGTATTTGTAATGGTTCACTAGTTATTGTACTGTTTTCGCACGCCTTACAAATGAGGACAAATATGGTTTTAAAATCAATGCGAGGCGAAATCTTATAAAGATTTATCTCCCTATACGTTCACTCTTATTTATTTGCTTAAATGATACATGATATGAAAGTGTCAATGTTTTGACCCACCGATAAATTTATGTTGTAATTTATGCCGCCAAGGCATTACAAAATGGCCGACTAGAAGCAACAGAGCGAAACAGTTGAAAAATAATAGTTTTCACAAGCCAAATTTATATCGGCTAAAATGTTTGAAAATTTATGATCAAGAATTCTTTATAGAATTTTCAAGTTTATAAAAATTTGTAAACAGATAAAAACATTTTAGAAAAGGAAACAATATGGCGTCTTTTTACAATTAAAATACATAAATTCCTTCGTCATTTTCGATTTTATAGTTAGGGTGTGTCTAGGAGATGTGGCTTGGCATGATAGGCAAAGTTTGGAGCTTCTATAAACGTAAAAGGTTAGAAGAGATATAAAGAGAAATAAAGAGAAGAAGAGAGAAAGCGATAAAGAAAGATGAATAAAATGATGGATAAAAGAAAGAATGAAAGAAAGAAAAAAGAAAGAATGAAAGAAAGAAAAAAAAAGAAAGAAAGAAAGAAAGAAAGAAAGAGGGACAGATGGAATGGGTTTGCAAAAATGATTGGGCGATATTTTATACTTTTGATTATACAACTTAATGAATCATGACCAGTAGAAAATATCCGTTTGAATATTTGAAAAAGGTAGAATTATCATTATTAAGCATTTATTTATTTATTAACCCACCAGCTATTAAGCCAAAATGGAAACAAATGGAAGGTAAAAGATATTTGTAGCAACGTCAGCAAAATAAAAAACAAACAAACAAAAAACAAGAATAACCTAAACACGGAATCAGAAAAGTGTTTATGATAGTTGAAGAGGCACATTGTACAGTTACGCTTTGCCAATATAGTCCAAATATATTTTGATCTCCTTTTTGAAGACGTCTAAAATCTTGGCATTGACTATCAAAAAAAATGAGCGAGTGATCTTTGTGAAAATAATATTTTCGAATGTTTACACGATAGAGCAGCGGTTAATAGTTTTTCTCATTAATGTCTGCAGACGACAATTCCCTTCTCGTTTGTTACAGTCACAATTAAACTGGTAGCCTCGATTTTGAGAAATGTTTCTTTGTTATTTTATTTAGGAATTTCGAATAGAACTGTTTCTTAAGTTCACAAGAGCCGGTTTCGTTCTCCAAGTGGAAGGATGTCTTGAATTCGTCCATTCTTCCTGGCTATTTCGTATTAATTAATCCGTTCTTATAAGTTCCCTTCTGCGTTATCAACTGTATACGTTTACTGTATGACCCAAGGACTGGATAGGTACCAACGTAATTAATCAGCGTTTTATCCATGAGGAAAATCATTTTTTAAAAATTTTTACCGTTCAGCTAAGATATGTTCTTATTTATACGAATCTTTGCCACAAAATTACAAGCCTTTTCTTTTGTTCGTATTTGAATGAATTAAAATATATCAATTGGCATTTTTTCTCAAGTTACAAGAAGACACTCCTTGTGATGTTGCTGTGAGCAGGGTGTGGTTTGGAAATAGGGACAATGTGCGACAGAATATGTTTCAGTAGAGACATTCTGCAGATGGCTTTTGAGAGAGACAAGGGTAAGATAGAAAGAGAGAGAGAGAGAGAGAGAGAGGGGTGGAAATAAAAATAAAGTAAGAGGGAGCAAAAAAGAAAAATAAGGAAGGAAAGAGATGATGGGAAAGTGAGGAACAGAATCGTGAGAGAGAGAGAGAGAAATAAAGAGACTAAAAGAATGAAAAAAAGAGAGATGGCTGTAAACAAGGATAGAGGAAAAAGTTAGCGAGAAATAGAGAGAGAGGAGAAATCAGAAGAAGAAATTAAAGGGGCGAAATGAAAGAGTGAGAAGAAGGAAACAGGAAAAGCTAAAAGGTAGAGGAAGAATCAAAGAGAGGGAGAGGGAGAGAAAGACATGGATAGAGAAAGAGATTGATTCATTTTGTAAATCAGTTTTTTTTTGTTACACTCAGTAACACCACAATTCATAATGGCGTCTAGAAAATCATCTCAAATGTTGCTACAATGGCGCGAAAGTTCATTATGAAATCTTGAATCTGAATATGAGTAGAAACTCTAAATAGAGAACAGTGGGCGGGTAGTGTAAAGATTATCGACATGGAAGGTGGTATCGGGGAGCCAAATTCACACAAATAGTCTAGGAGAAGGCATGAATCCGGACCTTCCCACCGCAATCATTTATGGGCTAGATAACATCGTAGAATGGCTTCTATAGATTTTAGTGGCAACCACTCTAAGAGATGGAAAATTCTGCATTCTAAACTGCGGCGAATGAAAAGGAAATCACTTCACTATTTTTCCCAAGAAGGTATGCTAATTCATAGATAATAAACAAAAGGAACACGAAGGGACCTAGCATTAACACAAAGAAAGATTGTAGGAAAAGAATGTTTATCAATAGTAAAGGGAGATTTGACTTGGAGCTTTTATTGACGGCTAAGTCGGTCTGTTTTAACCTGTTCTAAGTTGAGTCATCATTAATAAATAAAAATATTAAATATAAATATTAAATATAAATTATTAAATATATCTTTTAGGATTGCTGCAGGAGATTGTAAGACTACTCAGTGTTACAAGATTATATTTCTCCAATGTTCCTACATTAGTTTTTATCTAGACATAATCTGTAATGAAAGGCAACATACAAGCAAATCAACTGCCTACACCCCAACAAAAATAATATACTAAGCATCTAGAAGATCCAAATGAAATCTAGAAAAATATTAATCAGAATGAGAGAAGATTCTGGAAACGGAGATTCAACTTATAGAAGACATGATTAAGTAGCCAAAAATATGTAAATAGCAAAACACTATCAAAATACATATGTAACTTCGAAAACAAACATGGAACTTCAGATACACATATAAAAAAAGCAATAACAACATGAAAAGAACGACAACAGATTATAATATTTCAAAATAATGTAACCTTTGTCGAAAGGAGATAATAGCAACAATTATCTTGCTACAACAATATTAACAATTAAACATAAATTCAAGTTCATTTCCAAATGCAGACATGAAAACAATATCTTATTACGTTACATACTACCACATCATGACACCAAATAATATGCTACTAATAACACAAAACCTAACACTAATAAATTCTATTTCAAGTAGCAAAATTAAGAACCAAAGAAATTATACCAAGCCAAATAAATTTAAAATAATTTAATATAAAATAAAATAAACAAACTCCTGGTCACGACTATGAATAATCATGATACGTTTTTCTAAATAAAAAAAAAAGGATAAAACCGATTTTCTCCTTACCCCAGTTCCAACAAAGTCTTAATCACCTATACAGTGAGCACATACAAATATCAGTAACATATACTGCATGGTGGGAAACTGCATTTCCTCATGTAGTGGTGATTTTTTTGTTAATCCACACACACACACACACACACACACACACACACACACATATATATATATATATATATATATATATATATATACATATATACATACATACATACATATACGTGTGTGTGTGTGGTTAAGGTTTGGTTTTTTAATATAACTTGATTTAACTTATCTTTAAAGTTAAAAATATATAATTTATTTTATCTTTTAGACCCCAATTTAATGTCATAATGCTAATATCCGGGTTTAATTTTATAAAACTTCTCCTCTTTAAGGCTAATGCCTCTAACCCTCCCTTAACCACCGTCTCGTGCCTTTCGGCTGACTGAAACATCGAAATGGATAAATTCTGTATTAATTTTTCGACGACTGTCAAAGTTAAATTTCTAATTACGACACGAACTCAGTAGTTTTCTTCGGTTGAAATAGATCTAGCCTCCCCCCCATATGAGGTAATTTTGGATTTTGTTGTGTAATACTATATATATATATATATATATATATATATATATATATATATAACTCCCTATTTTCTGTTATATATATATATAACAAAAAAATTTGGCCGTCCAAATCTGTATTTTCCATGTTCCGTCAAGCCATACAGTCGTTTCTTTGAAAGATTTGCATATGCCGTAAAACACAGTGAGAAAAGTGGTGGAAATTAAATCAGTTCAATGGACTTAAACGTTTTGGTTGTCGTTTATTTCGCATGCGGTATATTATCATATAATTTATAGTACTGGTTATACTTGTTAAATATACTATCAAAAATATCAACATCGCTTGATTATATTTATAGGTTCCTGACTTTTTTTTTATTACAAAGCTGTGATCCCAGTCCTGATGTCGTTACCACTTTCATGGCAGAAAATGTCTATACTTAAATAACTCAACAATTTAATTATAAAAGTCATGAAAATAACTGTTTATTTACAAAGATCACAAAAGACAAAACTGGAAATTAATAACAAAATAGTTGTTTTTTTTAAAACTGAATATGGGAAGTCGTTCTCTCAATAACGCAAAACAGCTATTTGAGGTGAGATTTAAGACACATGCTGTAGGTATAGGGGATAGCAATGAATTTATTTAGTTTTAGCAAATATTCAAGGTTTCAAAATACAACGTGCACACACACTGAGCATTATATCTATCTATCTATCTATCTATCTATCTATATATATATATATATATATATATATATATATATATAACATCATCATCACTGCGATACTGATTCCCAGCCAAGTGTTTTTTTTATGTTTACATTTGAAGTCTACTTTGAACAGTCAGATGTCAGATTAGGTGGAAAGAAGCAATGCAGTTATCAATAAGAAGAGTTGAAATTAATCATGCAATATTTCACAGATCTCACTCCTTCATAGCCGGCCTATGAACTTTTCAGCCCATCCTCGTATGTATGTGTGAAATAATTTCTTGTAACAAGAAATTCTTTCGAAAATTCTAACGCTTTTAACTCAAACTAAAAGCAAATATTTCATGCTTTATGTCGAGAAAAACATTCGCTATATTCAGGTTATTAATCAAAGTGTCGAAACGGTGAACATCGTTTCAAATGAGAATTACATTGGAAAACAAAACTAAAAAAGAATGACCTTTACGTCAATGTACGAAATTTGGTGAAAAATGGAGCGGTAACTTCATTATTGTAAAGACTGATGATAAAGTGTGTGTATATATATATATATATATATATATATATATATATATATATATATATATATATATATATATATATATATATATATATATATATATATATATATATATATATATATATATATATATATGTGTGTGTGTGTGTGTGTGTGTGTGTGTATAAATCCGTTGGTATATAAAACCAAGTGGATCCTAGTAATATAAAATATTAAAATTGATCTACAAAAGAGCTCAATGTAATTATTACAGAGCAAATAATACACAATAAAATTCAAAGTCTGTCTATATTATCCACTGTGCCATCAAGGACACATGGCACAGTGGATAAAGGCGTTGGTTAGATCCAGTGACAGGACCCAAAGAGTGTGAGTTCAATACCCGGTTAAGGCAGTGGAGAACTTTCAGAGGGAAATTAGCAGGAGATAACTGACATCTATCAAAAACATGGCACGTGGAACTAGAACAGTCTACCCCAGTGAGCGAAATAAAGGATTCAGTTCGAAATTCCAACCACCTGAAGAAGACCGGAGCGTACAACGGCCGAAACGCTGTGATAAATATGGCGACAAAGATGAGGACTATAGTCCGAAAAATGTAAATAATGTAAATAAAATTCAAAATTACCTCATATGGGGAATAGGCTTATTTCAAACGAGACTGAGTTCGTGTCGGAATTAGAAACTTAACTGTGAAAGCTATAAAAAATAAAAATAAAAACTAATAAAGAATTAGGACAATGCCAAGTGGCGACAGTCTGTTTTATCTTCAAGCGTGAAGATTGTTTTCAAGTATGGGACACATTGTCATCGCTTGGTGTTGAGCTAAATGTCTGCTTATTTATGTGTATGTGAGTGCGTGTGATGCGTTTCAGCCTTTCGGACTTCATCGGACTAAAGTGATGTTTACTGCACATGCGCACGGAGGAGATAGGGCGCTGAGAATTTTAAACTTTTAAATTTAATTTTTTTTTTAAGTATGTGTCTGGATGTGTCTAACCAGTTGCATTTGTGCATGTACATGATCAAGTGATTAAAGCATTTTCTATAGACTTTCGTTTGAGCAAATTGCTTTCTTGGTAGTGGTAGTTTTAACTCGAGATTATAGTCATACTCATTACGGTGAGCAACTAACGTTTTGCGCGTCTTGTTTTGTAAAATATGCCTTTTGAGTTCATATAATATTTTATTTAAATTTCTTGAGATTTCTCCGATGTATTCCTAGAGTAAATTTATTGTTCAAGTTTTAGCGTATTATTATTTTTTTTTTGTAATAATTAAGTTGTTTATTATTTTAGAAGTAGCTATAACAAAATACAAGTGTGAACCATTCTGACATCAAACAACGAATTAAAATATATTACTCTACTCATGAACTCTATTATGACTACTATTGAAAAGAATTTATCTAAACTTAACATAAACTTTATTACAAGTACTTCTATATACGCAAACACATATTAAAAAAAAATCAAAACATATAGGGGAAACAAACAATGGATGTGAGCATAGTTGGATTGTAGTTAATGCGTTTCAATAGTGACGTCAGCCAAATGTCCGACAAACACCGTCCAGACGAGTACACTGTGGACATATTCATAATTAATGGTATATATATATATATATATATTTACGATTCCAATGGAATAAATTTTTTCTCTCACTTAAACCGTCTTGACTCCCCTCTTTAAAACTTCTCTCTGTTAACTTTTAATCCCCACTTCATCTTTAGACCTTCCTGTTCTTCTCTCGTCTGGTACCCCTCCCTATAGATTTCATTTATTCTAACATTCATCCCACACTCTCATACATACACTCTCACTAAATTTTATTTTTCATTCCCGGAGTTGGTTTTATGTTTTCTTTTTAAATTTGTAGGTCTGATGAATTGGATCGTATTTACGATTCCAAAGGAATAAATTATGACCATGGAATATTAGTGTTTAAGCCTTTTTATTATAACAACTAGTCTACTAGCAAGCAGATTTTTTTCTGATGATGGCCATGCTGGCCGAAATTCGTCGCGGAATTTAATTGAAATAATTAAACGAAAAAAATATTAATATACAACCCAGTGAGTCTGAATATTTTTAATTTTTAATATTGTTTATTGCTCAAAGCACACACACACACACACACACACACACACACACACACACACACACACACACACATATATATATATATATATATATGGATAAATGACAAACGACAAGAAAAACGAGTTGTATCAATATGCTTATATATTTTATATCTGTTCATTTGATCAGATTTTGGGAAGTGGGTCCGGGTAATAACATTTCAGTAACCGACATATATATTAAGAAAATGCAATATGATTATATGTATGGATGTGTGTGTGTGTATGTGTGTGTGTGTGTGTGTGTGTGTGTGTTGGGATACACAGATAGAGAAAGAAAAATTGTAGAATAGGATAAAAAAAATTAAACGAGAATAAAAAAAAAGAGAGTAAGAAAGAAAAATGAGACAAAAAAGAGCCATAAAGTTAATTATGCAATAAAAAAAAAGGAAACTGAATCCGGCACAGAGAGGGTTGCGTTAAAATGATCGCCAGACCTTTAGAGTCGTCAAAGCTTCTTGCAAAATTGGTAAAACAATACTCGACTCAACACCGTAACCGTCACCGTAAGCCTGCCCCAACCATCAGAACAAAAACAATAATAACAACAATGAACAAAAAGCGTCTGCCTTTCCCTTTTTTTTTGTCGTAACCAATAATAATAATAATAATAATAATGATAATCTTGTTTCATTTGCTCCACCTTCTTCTCGTCAGATTTTCTCCTCTTCATGGCCCATCCTCTTTAAGTATTACTGCCTTTGTCGGATGCACGCGCGCCTACCACGTCTGCGCACTCTGTGTTCGTGGACGACGTAGGCACGATTGTGGGCAAACCCTTCTTTAACACGAGCGCAGACCTCCAATGCACGTGCGAAGTACGGTGTAACCCCGCCTATATCGTGTAATTGCCGGCCAAAACGGCATGTGGTGGCGGCGCAAAGAGAGAGAGAGAGAGAGACAGAGACAGAGACAGAGAGACAGAGAATGCTGATAACATTGGCGCGCTTTTGGCTTTACAAGAGCGGAGGCATGTAAAGATGTCAAGAAAAAGAAGTGAGAGAGATAGAGATAGATAGAGATAGATAGAGAGAGATGAGGACAACAGTAGGTGTTTTGTTAAAATTTAGATAGAAATATTCAAATAAAACAGAGGTGATGCAATTATGGGAAGATGAAAGTGAAAATGACAGACAGATAGATAATAAAGAAGAATAGCTCGAAACGTAGAAGCAAACAGAAATTATATATTGACAGAATTATAAAATAATCTATCTAGCTACCTAGCTATCGATCGATCGATCAATCTAAGTCCCTTCATTGTATGTGTGTATTTAATCATAAAATATAGTTTTAAGGTATGCTATATTTATGAGTAAAAGTGCTCAATATCGGGAATAGAGCATATATAAATATAAAAGTGGGTACAGAGGTCACTACCGTGTGTCGCCAATCAGTTAATATGTAGAAATGACGCTCTAAATACACAAAACGAAATTTTTGACCAAACCAATGTTATATATATATATATATATATATATAAAAAGAAAGTAAGAAAGCAATACGATAGATAGATAAATTTGAACAGACTGAAATAGATAAATAGACAGATAGATAGATGTGAACAGACAGATAAATAGATAGATGCGAATAGAGATGGAGAGATAGAGAGATAGATGTGAATAGCCTTATATATATATATATATATATATATATATATATATATATATATATATATGAAGAGAGATGGATAGATAGGTGAGCAGGTAATAGAACAGTTTTAACCTAATCATCCACGAAATCACACGTGGTAATGATGTGATATTACCTGATATTACATCACTAAATTAGCATAAGCTATATATATATGTGTGTGTGTTTGTGTGTGTGTGTGTGTGTGTGTGTGTGTGTGTAAGTATTGGCCAGTGTATTTCAGGATAAGTGTCTGTGGTTAAGCTTTTTAATGCAAGTTGTACATAAATCGTAATAAAATTAAACAACAATTTGGTTCATTTCTTTTATTACTTACTAATATATATATATATATATATATATATATATATATATATATATATATATATATATATATATATATACCGGGTGTAACAGTAAACTTGTCCAACTAGTATAACACCATAATTATCCATTTCACAAAATGATTAATACCTAAAAGAACACTAAACTAATTGAGTTTCTTTTTTTAGATTTTCTTATAAGACGTTTAGCCATATTCACACAATTTGTACGAATCATTAAAAAACCTTTTGAGTTATTCAGCTGAAAAGAGAGCAGATTAAAATTGTTTTGTGTCAGACCCACTGCCTTTACAAGTGAGCAATGGTCAGAGATAAAAGATCATTCATGGTATCAATATTCATACTCTGATTTCCATCTTCAAATTCCATTCAAGAACCATCAAGAGAACGGTGAATAAGTTTAAAATGAGGGAACAGTAAGGAAGAAAACTGGACCAGAAGGTCACAACAGGAAGAGGGATCATCATTTCAACTTAGAGCTAAATACATTCTTATTGCTCAAAGTAGAGTCCAATAGTGTTATAAAAAATCTCGGATAATTCCAGTAAGATATCTTTAATCATTTCTAAGATACAACGGTTCAAATCTTAATCTAACAACTGAAAAAAATTTGCTGTTACACGATTTGGATAATTTTGCTGTTACACCCGAGATATATATATATACCGTTTTTGTTTTTTGTCTGTAGCTTGTTTTACGATTGCAATGTCATTTTGTAGGGCGTAAGGAGCGTTCGTGCCCGAGATTCGACACGCAGAAAGCAGGCAAACACACGCCAGGGCCCTCAAACACGCGGTTTGTGGACTTTTGCTGCAAGCCGCGGGGAACCATTTCCATGACCGATATTTTCTTCAAAATTTAATGTTTACTAAATTTGTCCCTCTCTCTTTCCATACTTTTGCACCAGCAGTATTAAGCTTGATCTATCCAGAAATTACCAAGTGACATTCAATCAATTATAAGATCACCGAGGTTTGTTCTAGTTCCTCTAGGGTCTGGAAGGAAACCCAGTTTTGATGCTGAACGACTTGTCCTCCATTAACTAATGTGGGACAACTGTTTGTTTCACATTTTGAAAATCAATGATTTGGGACATGTTTGTTTCACATTTTGACAATCAGTGATTTGGGACACCTCTTTGTTTCACAGTTTGACAATCAATTATTCATTTTTTACAAGTTACGTGTAAATTTTCTTCTTTTTTTTTTTTAAAATTTGTACTTAATAAACCCGAACGGCTGGTATGCGAAATCTTCCCCACCAAAGTAAAGCAACGTTAAGCCTGGTCAGTAATTAGATGTGAGACAGATGAAGTTTCTGGGACACATAATGAGGACAGAGAGCATAAGGAAATACTGCAAGAAAGAGTGCCAGCGATTAACCAGTATTTTAATAATTTCATCCCAAGATAATGCCACTAAGACGGATTGGATTACAGAGAGTGAAAGGGAAGGAGAAGACTTTAGTAAGGAGAAATGAGGAGGATGGACAATAAAGGAACAGGGTTCAGAGAGAAAGAAGATATCAATTGACATTGCGTTTAAATTTTTGAAGATCGTATGTAGCATCGGAGCAAAAAAACAAAAAACAAAAACAAAAACAAAAAACAACAAAAAAAAAACGGTAGGGAGTTCCACAGGTTGGAAGTGCGAGAATAAAACACGGTTGCATCTAGCTAGTTCAACAGTAAAATAGTGAAACCTAGTTGCCAATCTAGTAGAATATTTAAATTCTTGCAGACGAGGCACTAAGGAGAACAGCTGAATAGGACAATTGGCGTGAAAATATTTGTAGAAAAGACAGAGGGAAGCCACGTTACGTCGGTGTGAAAGTGACTGAAGTCAAGTCAGGATGGATCAAATTACAGACCGAATTTATTAAAAAATCTTGAGATATATATTAAGAACACCAGACCAGATATGGCAACACTATTCAAGGCACGAACCAATAGTAGAATTATAAATGTGCAAGATGTATTCTAACGAGAAATATTGTCTGGCACGACACAGTGAACCCACTTTCCTAGCCTTAGACCTAGCAATTGATTCAGAATAATCATTCCACTTCATGTCAATGGAAAACGTGATCCCAAGTAGATGCAAAGTGTCCATCTCCTGGAGGCTAGCATCAGCCATACTGACGATAGGCAGAAAATGTTCTCTGTTGTTATTAAATGAAAGCAGTTTTGTTTTTGAGGCATTAAAATTTACAAGCCATTCCTTGCCCCAGTTAATCATAAATTTTCGAGACCAGTTGTCAGTTTTATTTTGACGGACCCGTAAGACTTGTTATTAAGACAGGAGTAAATAGTTGCATCATCTACATAATTAATGACATCAGGAAGTTCGTTGCTGAAGATCGGAAACAACATAGGTTCAACGACAGAGCCCTGGGGCACACCTGATGGATGTCAGAACAGGAACTGGAAGGAACTTAGGATTAAAAATGATGGGAAGTTGTGGAGAGCTATTTTCTCTCGAATCCACAGACCGATAGACGTAAAGGTAAACTGTTGTGAAACAGGGCTTCTACTCAAACACGTGTACCCATTAAATATAACGTTTAAAGCAATAAGAAATAATGTCGGATTATAAATAAAATCGATTCTTTCAAAATGTTTAGCAGTGGACTTCGAGGGATCAGCCAAAAATATGTGCTTTTCTTAAATTGGGTAACTGAAATTTGCTTGGCTGTTAAAGTTTTTCTGTGGATGAACAGACTGAAACACGCTGTGGTTTCCCCTATAAGAGAGACATACATTCAAATCTTGCCTGAAAACATTTTTTTATTTTGACTAGAATGTATATGGTGATAGACATACATTTACATTGCTTTAAAAACGGCATGCCTACTAAGAAACGTGTATCCACTAAATAAAAAGAAACGTGTATCCACTGAATAAAAAGTTTTAAAACCATAAAATCCATTAATTCTTCAGAGGTTGCTTTCTTTACGTTTTGAATACGAAACAAAGCAAATATGTGTTCTGAGAAATCTGAACGAGTGAGTATGCTTTATAGGCAAGATTTTTATGGTGACGCTTTTCCTAGCCTAGCGATAAAACCACACCGTATCAGAGAGTAGTTCTTCCTGCAAAGGAAGACGCAGGTTCGAACCCTGTCGGAGGGTATATTACTGTTTAGTAAGTTTTCTCGAGTACATAGGCCGGCAGAGGAAACAAATAACTTTTTAAATAAACGGAACGTCTACTCAAACTGCGGGTATTCACTAAAAATATCGTTTTAAATAATAAAAATGTCACATTAATTCTTTATATATATATATATATATATATATATATATATATATAAATAATCTATCCTCAAGAGAATTCAGAAAGCACTGGACAGCTATTTCAACCACCTATTACCGAGAATTGAACCCGGGCCTTCACGAAATGACGCAAGCGTCATATCCACAAGACCAACGTGCCTCGAGGACGGAGAGGAAACAAACCATACTCGATATAGACCCAGCTCATCACAAATTCCGTCGTGTGACTTATTCGAATCTACTTATACCAACGGACTGTGCCCCCATGAGTCACGTTTTCCATCCCCAAGTCGCTCCATCCCCCTTAATTTATATATATATATAATGCTCTGGATTCGTCATATCGTGACGGTCCGTGTTCGATTCTTGGTAGTGGATGCGCACTACCGATGAATCACCAAAATTGGATGAGACGACCGTCCAGGGCTTTATGCATTCTGTTGAGTATTCTTCTACACTTGATGAATTAATTATGATTATTCAAATCCTCCTTAATATATATATATATATATATATATATATATATATATATATATATATATATATACCTAATAATAATGGCTGGATGCTCGTATTCGAGGATGCCTGTCTACTAGACCGGCTAGTTGTAGACGCTCGCAAAGGCACATTTGTGTTTGTTCGACACCCACAGAGTCCACCTGGGGCTTATACTGCAACTATGCTGAGCAAACTTTAGGTACACTTTCTGGGAGAGAGCGTTATGAACAATCTGAACAAGTCCAACACGATAAAACCCTCGGTCGCTATGACTTGTGACTTCTTGCTAGCACGGATCAGAAGGAGATCTGTCAACACAATTTAACTTACAAGGCCCACTTTTGCACAATACCAGTGGTATGGATTTCAAGCACGTTCTCGAGTGCCTAGGATCCCCCTCCCACAGACCAATTACATCAAGAATTCCCATTTTTGATAAATAGAGCCTGCTGAGATTCGAACCTGGGTTTCATGTTCAAAGAGCGAACGTTTTAACCGCTCGGCCCATAATAACATATTAAATAAGTGATTAAGAGTTCAATGATTTATCTTTCAATTTTGAGAGTCTACCCTTTAGGATAAGATCAATCAATTCAAAAACACAACCATCCATATATATATATATATATATATATATATATATATATATATATATATATATATATACGAATGCAATGAGAACGATAATAATATAAAAATTCTAGCGTTTACTCCATTAATTCAAAAGAGGGCTCAATACCAATAGTAGAGCATTTACTATTACAATTTTTGCATATAGACAAAAACAGTTTACTCACAACAAAGATGCAACTTCGTTTCGGTGCATTTTAGTTGCATCTTGGTTCTCATCAGTCAAGGTACTACTAAATGCATCTTTGTAATGAGTAAATTGTTTTTGTCTATATGAAAAATTATAATATATATATATATATATATATATATATATATATATATATATATATACTGGGTGTAACGGCAAAATTGTCCAAATTGTATAACAGCATAATTATTCATTCCAAAAAATATCTAAAAAACAGTAAACTGAGTTTCGTTTTGCCGGACTTTCACAGAAGACGTTTAGCCATCTTGACACTATCTGCCTTAAGAATCACTGTGAGTTATTCAGCTAGAATAGAACATGTTAAAATCGTTTTGTGTCAGACCCACTGTCGTCCCAGCTGAGTAATGGTGAGAGAAAAAAGATCATACAGGCCTTCCGTAATGGTACCAACATTCATACTCTGGCTTCCATTTTCAAAGTCCATTCAAGAACCATCAAGCGAACGTTGAAGAAGTTTAAAAAAGAGGGAACAGTAGGGAAGAAAACTGGATCAGGAGGTCACAACAAGAGGAGGGTTCATCATTTCAACTTAGAGCTAAAGAGATTAATTAGAAAAGATCCAACTCAATCCATTAGACGTGAGAGAAGAGTTTCAGCTATGAAAGTTTAAAGAGCAGTGAAAAAAGTCTTGAAAATGAAATCGTACGTGAAACCTTTGAGGCGTCTTGTTACTCAAGGACAAAAAGGTAAAAAGTTAGATAGGACGAAGATCATCTTGAATAACTTGGAAAATGATCCTGGAATAATCTATCTATCTATCTATCTATCTATCTATCTATCTATTTGAACTTTATTTCAACCCTTAATGAGCTTCCGATCCTTAGCTATGATTAATTAATGATGAACATGACACTTTCGTTTATGATTGATTTCATCATGATTCTTCTGTTAAGCTTGGAGAGTAATTATACATTCTTATTGCGCAAAGTAGAGCCCGGTAGTGTTATAAAAATTACAGAAAGATATCTTTAATCATTTCTAGATACAACGTTTCAAAGTTTAATCTAACAATTGGACAATTTACAGCTGTTACACGATTTGGACAATTTTGCTGTTACACGATTTGGGCAATTTTTCCTGTTACACCTGGTAAATATATATATATATATATATATATATATATATATATATATATATATATATATATATATCAGCTTATTTATATGGTTCGGACGTCCACCCACGCATGAAGACGCAGTACTGGAAAAGCATTAAAGACTAAACA